AGCGTTGGTGCATCACTGAGGTCGTCGAGTTCTTCACAAGTGAATTATTAAAATCTGTCAAAACCTCCTAATTAAATGCGCCTGGTAGTCCTCTGATGGATTCTAGATTGATTTTTTAGGAATTTCTGCTTGCGCAGTCAAATTACTGTATCAGAATTGGTCGATTCCATTAGTTGCAGTAGGCTGGGCGGGTAAATGGACTCAAGTGTGATTAAACCCAGGGCTCCCGGTGGGGAGACCTCGCAGCTCAGTTAGCTAGAGCGTTGGCTGTACTAAAACCTTCCTCTTGCGCATACCCCCCACCGATTCCCCGAGTGTTTCCAAGTGGGTCAAATGAATAGTTAGGCAGGTGTTCATATGAATTACTATTAAAACCATTTCTGAACCGATGAGACAAGTAGAAGCATCGAGAACTGTAAAACATCCTCTGACTTCTGTGGTCAGTGAACAGCACATCGTTTGCTCAGTAAAAAAAACATTTGTCTGTGAACCACTGCGTGTCTGAAACTGTTACAGGCTCGTACTTTCAGTCCTACACCTGTTTAAATTTCACCCAGACGTGTCAGCTACCTCTACATTGCTGTAAGGATACGCAATAAAATATTTAGACCCTTCATTGACGAAATATTCTCTGGTATCCGCACTCAGATTTTCCTGAAAAGGAGCCCCAAATCACTGCATGTTATCCAAATGTGCGTTTTGCAGCTCACGTCAATTCATTCATGTATTACTTTTTCGTGTGGGCTTTCATTCCAGGCCATTTAAAAGTCTCATTGTGTTGGCCTCTTCTCCTAGCGAAACTTGCCCGAATGCGACCAAGGCCTGCTGTGACGTCTACCGCTGTCGTCTCATTAATGGCGCTGAATGTGCCACTGGTCCTTGTTGTGAGGTTACCTCCACACCAAAGGGTTACCAATGTCGTCTGCGTTCTGCGGGTTCTACCTGCCGTCCAGAGACTGGTTCCTGTGATCTCCCGGAGTTCTGCGACGGTAGCTCCGAGTGGTGCCCTGCCGACGTCTACAAAATAGACGGCGAATCCTGCTACACCGAACACGGCTACAAGGTAAGAAGCATAGTGAGCCTAGCAATCCCGAAAATTCGACTTCATATAAGACCTCTGTGTCAGAAATAAGTTTTCTGATCCTCACATCTGTCGCGTTCTTGTATCATACGCAAATTAGCCTGTTCCACACGCGATATTCTCTTGCGAACCACACAGGAGTGTCCGGGATGCAAAAACCGATGTTCAAATGCACCGACACTGATCGCCTTCACACGCCTTGCATTAATGAGCTCTCCGAAAAGAGCGCGCATACATGAAGTGGTTTCCATTGCTGAATTGATTAGCATATTACATAGGCTGGATATGAAGCGGCGCATATTTTTTACGGCCAAATGCGTAGTTTTTGTGAAGAAAACCAGCACAAGATATATTTCCTTCGGAGTAGATAATTTGCTCTTCATGCGTTTCTTGATCTGTTGCAGACGGTGGAATCTGGTAATCATGCTGGCCTTAATGAGGAGGAAAAGTTTGATCGCGGCCGTCTCACCGACAGCTGTTGTAGTCAATTGGATCTGCTTTATTTAACGTAACCATAGGAGCATTTAAATAAGAATAGACTAATTAAGTGAATTCAGCCCTTCCGGACTTCGCTATTAGACTGTGCGGGCTTCATTCTTAGTTATGCTGCCCCACTTACGATTAAATTATTTTAAACAGAATTTGTGCAACACACTAAACCTCATAGAAACCATCCTTTTGTTATTTTACCTTAAGGCACCCTAAATAACTTGCACTTTCACTAGCGTTGCCCGCTGTTTATGAACACGCATAGCAGAACTAACTCAGTCCAGTTCCGTCTTTTGGAATTTAACAGATTCTTCGCATGTCTTCTTAAATTGTAAGTGTCCGCTTACAGAGTGCGATTACTGGCCTCCGTTGTCGGGGGGACATCTTCGCTCACAAATCACGTACTAAGGTTTTGC